CAATAGAAGAATTCAAAATATTTTGTCACTAGAAATGTCTGCTAATGTTTCATGGCTTGCAGCCAGATGAATATTATCACCAGTCATTATCTAATGTACAAAATGAGAGTATTTTATAAAATTGCATTTTTAAAAAATTGCACTTAAGTAGTTTTACCAACTTCTCTACGAACATTGTAGATTAAAAAAATTAAATTACTTCCACAAGAGAAAAATGGAAACCAAGCATGTGCCTACAGTCAAAACCTTTGCAGTGCAATCCTATGCATGTTAAGAGAGAGAACGGTTCTGAAAGTCCCAGCTTTTCCTAGCCTGTGCTGCTAAACATGTGTTGAACTACCCCTTAAATCAGTTAATTATGGGTCAGATCCAGATTTTGCCTTCCATGAATAGACTTCTCCTGTCCACAGAAGAATTTTTATTCCATCTTATACAAGAGTACCGGTGGGGGGGGGGCATTTTTGCGCATCTTCCCCAAAGAACAGACTTATACAGTCTCTTATGCTCCCCCCACTACATAGGGGACTGAAGTGTAGTTCTATGCAGATGTAGCTGAAGATGCCGTGATCACTGCGATACTCTTTCCTTCAACAAGATAGCCCCACATCTGGTCCTTTGAGCCTAGCTGAAAAGCAGACAGTTGTTGCAGGGATAGTCCGAGACTCACTGATTAAGGTTTTAAAATAGGATAACACAGGTGCTCCAGGCTGGAGACTGGGTGCTGGGCTGCAATTTCTATTCTTCGATAGCAAATTGCAAACATGCCCTGCATTTGGGCTGGGGCTGCAGGAGGAGTAGCTGAAGCCTTCCTCTGCTCACCATCCTGGCTTCTGGACTGCTCTGTGCTCCGTCTCCCTCCCTTCCTCCCACTCTCTATATAACTGCTAGCTGTCTTTTTAAAGAAATCTGTGTTTTGGCAGAGAAAGAGAGTTTTTTTTCTCCCCACCCAGCATGGAGCTCAAGCAGGTGGCCAGAGGAAGAACAGAGTGATTTGTTCTTCTGGCTTCACGTGGCTTTAGTGCTAGACAGGAGGAAAGACAAGCCAATTTTTCCCTACCCAGCATGGAAGTCAGGTCTGAGCAGAGATTAAGCAATCTCTTTTTTCCCTGCTGTGGCCAGGAAGCGCTAGGTGAGGGGAGCTGGAGCTTGGAGGAGGGAGTGCGTATGAGGGCAGCAGGCCATCCCCAAGGCTGAAACCCGCCGTGGTCATTTGGTGGTTCCCCACCCTTGAGCAGCCTGTAAGTTATGAGTTGTCATGTTTCGCACCATCTTAAATACATTTCAGCTCCATGTCTCTGGAGATGCTGTTGGAAAAGAGGAATCAAAAGGTGATCACAGATAATATTTTTTTAACAGTCTAAGTCTCTATGGGTCCTATTTAATTACTCTTAGTGGGTTATTAAACCTACAAAGAATGCAATGGAAGATATCATTACCTGGGTAAGAATGATTAGAATATGCAAAACATGTCTCCTAGCAATCAGGTGAAAGAAAAATAGGGCACTTCTGAAAAAATGGGAGTTAAATGATAGCTTCAGGTTTGGCCTTGGTTTTCTGTACCGTTCCTAGACACTTGACTGAAGAAACTGCAATTTTTATACGACTCACCAGACAATACAGCATAAGATGAAAGTTCAGTTGCACAGGAAGTCCAGAAGAACAGACAGAAAAGATGAGAAGTAGAAAGCATAGCTCTGGGCAGTGTTTCAGTCTCCCTTTCTCTCTTCTCTGTACACAGCAGTATTTTTTACTTTCTAGTTCATAACTAGAAACACCAACCTTTCGGAGACTTTCTGGGTTTTGTTTTTTTCATGCATTGCTTCGTGCATGAACAGAATGAGTCATTTCAGTGACAGAATTGATGAAGTGCCGTCTTGAAGGTACTACTGCACCGCATGAATTGGAGCTAAATCACAGCTACTACCGGCACATTTAAAGACTTCCAAGGACATTATTAGGAAGGCATACATTTCAGAATTTTCCAGTCCCTGAATGGCAAATACTCAGTCCCTGAAGTCTCTAAATGGCAAATACTCGGCATAATCAAATGG